TTATTGCACATTTTCACTGTAATTCACAAGAGATTAAATACTTAAGTTGCCTATCTCTGTCCTTTGGAAACCGATGATCGATTTGCCCATTGTGGTCCCGGGTAATGGTTAGCTAGTGTAGTTGGCGAGTTGTCCGGTCTTCTCGGACTATTCCTTAACACTGGGTCATGCAACTCGTTAACTTAGGTATGTTGTGTTGGCGACAGCTTCTACATCTTAAACAAATTCACGCCTAGGAGGCCCTTGGACCCGCCATCCTCGTTACACGAGGGGCAACCATTATATTTATTTTTAGTGGTGGTGAGAGTGGTGGTAGTGGAGGACCCGACCAGGGGTACCATACTCAACAGGTTCACACCATACCAGAAATATAACAGTAGCTAAAACAACTGCATACTTTATGGGAAACAATATGAGACCATGGACGATAAATTTGGGTATATGAGGGCTGTCACTAGTCACACGTAAAATTCGGAGCATATCAACCCCCACCTACACAAATAGTTGTTTTAGCAACTGTACAGGAAATACAACCTGTCATAACTGTATTGATAATAATTTAAGAGAAACTGTAGACATACATGAACAAAAAGCATGGGTGTGTGATCATTATACACAAACATAGGTGGAGGTGTATGATCATTGAAGTTACCGAGTGGCACCTTCCCATGCTAGTTTCGGGTGCTAGGAATTGTCCATGCCCGATATGATGAGGATATACGAGGCAATTGCAAAAGTCAACTTTATTTCCCTTGTCTCTCTTAACCTGAGATGATACAACAGGTAAAGGTAATCCCGGATATAGTCAGGTAATCAGGTTACAGTGATGACCTGACATACACTGACCCGGTAGAACAGCCATAGTGATTGATTTGAGTAATCTCGATTGACTCCAATCCTGTGTTGACCTGCCACGACCTCCCCTTCGACAGGAGAGAGTATCAGCCTTGTTGCAACTCAATCCCGACTTCAGAATAACGTTTCCCATCACGTGACCCTTTATCCTGTGACCCAGCAAGAGGTCGTTGAGGCAGCAATGACGTGTCCTTAGGTCGGCTGTGAGGGACTCTGATACTTGCGACTTCCGCTTTAAAATAATATCAATTATAATTTTGTAGAGGATTTCCATACTTGAGTGTCTTCATTAATTATTTACGAGGACAACTGGATCCAGTTATCAGAATGTCTCTCGGTGAAATATCAGTGACTGGCTCCCACGCAACTCACTCACCAATCCACTTAATGACTCACCCGTCCTATTGACCTACCTTCCAATCCACCCAGAGTTCATCCACCTATTCACTCATCCAGTTCATCCACCCACTTGTCCTTTCAACTCATATTCCATTATATTATTCAGTCATTCCTCGACTGACTCTCTCTCTCTCTCTCTCAGCCAACACAACCCATTTACCCATCAAACTCATCCATCTACCAAATTATCATCAAAATGTGAACAGCGGAAGTCCAATATAATTCCTATCCTGAGAGAGAGAGAGAGACTTGTAAAGTGGAAGCTGAACTTAAAACAGGTGCCAGGGAAGGCTTTACTCTTCGTTCCACTTGTTAAACGTTTACAGTCCATCACACCTACCGCATTGGAGAAGTTTAATAGGAGACTGAAAAGTGGAAGCTCTGGTAACCTCTTTAAGCAAAATTCTGTTAACCTAAGACACCACTCTGTACACGCATTTATCTGTGTGTCTCCGGATTTATCTTCCCAGGTCTGTTATCGTTTGTGATTAACTGCTTTATATTGGTTAAAATTCTCCAAATCGTGAGAAAATCACTGGTGTCTACAGATAGCTGTAAAACCATTATACTAAATTAATAAAAAAAAGTCACTGTACATTTCTTCATTTTCTCAGATTGAATTAAAAACTTTCGACTTTCTAATTACTCACAAGCAGATCTCTCGACTCATCTATCTGCATTGAGCGAGTGGTAAAATTTTTTATTCGCGGTGAAAGGAATTCTAAAACGTTACGCATATCCTCAAGGAAAAATAAAAAGAAAGAATCGTCGCTTAGGATAATATTTTTGATAGTCTAAATACGTAAGTATGTGAGACCTTACTAGTTTTTATTATCTTTCATATGACAATTACAACAATAAAAAAGAAAAACCACCCAAGTAAAATGTAGCTTTGTAAATTTATTGCTCACAGAAGCCAGCGAGCCCCCTTTAAGAACTTGACAACCCTGTAGTGGCTCCTGTACCTCATTGTAGTGTCTTGGGTAAGGAACCATTCAGTGTTACAGCTCACAAGGCAGCTCTGTTCTTAAGTTTTGTTTTTAAGTATCGGCAGTGTATGATGAAGCTGGACGCACCAAATTTTTCAGACATAAAATTTTTTTTTCAAGTGTCCGTACTTGATGTAACAATTCAATTAGAGGAAATAATGTAATGCCACACTCCCTTGTACTTGGCAATGGAGTTAAACAAGGTGCTGTCTTTAGGTTTATATGAATTGCTATCTTCGGCGACCTATGGTGTAAGGGTCACCGTACTCGCCTTCCAAATGAGTGACCCCAAGTTCGATCCTCAAACAGATTAAAACAATAGGCAAGATTTGTACACCATTTGCCTCTGTCTACCCAGTAATAATTCTTTAACACTGGGTCAAACAGTTCGTTAACTCACATGTGATTGTTGATGTTGCTGCCATCAGGTTCTACACATTAATTATTCATGCTCAAGTGACCTTAGCGCCGGCCAGCAGCAATTTATTTTATCCTCTGTTACAAGAAGTATGATTTAATAATGTTTTTAAACGTATTGGTTGTTCTTGTTATAATGTACTTCATCATCTAAGGTAAAGCATGAACATTCAGTTAGTTTATATATTAGACAACAAATGTTATGAGAACAGATATAATTTTTTTATCACCTGTGCTAATAACTTTTAGCGTATTAATGACATAAGGAGTGATCCATTTGTGTGACAGGTATGATAGTGTGTAGAGTGACACACAGAATCCTTACACACGTGTCTTGATAACTCAGATACAACATTACTGGAGACTGACGCTCACAGTCATATGGTGAATAGTCCGGCAGCGAGAGGGACCAACCTCAAAGTGTTTGATATAGTTGTTCTCTTTTGTCATTATTCTTCTATAGGGTCTGTGAACAGTTCCAGGTGGGTGTGGAGTTCTCACCTTGTCCAGGATTTTTTGGCCAAACACAAGATCACACAGGTCCGGCAGGCTCCCTACTCTTCTGACATGGCTCCCTGTGACTTTTGGCTGTTTTCTAATATTAAGATGCCGCTGAAGGGTTCGAGATTTGAGGACACAAATGAGATAAAGAAATTTGCGACAAAGATCATGTTGGCGATCCCAAAAAATGACTTTACAAAATGTTTCCAGCAATGGAAGGACCGCTGGCCAAAGTGTGTTGAGTCCCAAGGGGCCTACTTTGAAGGGGATTAAAGTCTGAACTCAGTCAGTAAGCTTGTTTTTTTTCACCGGCTAAAGGTCGGATACTTTTCGATCAGACCTCGTACAGTACTGGATTAAGAAAAAATTAATGTCACAATTTTATTGAAAAAAATCGAGAAAAAAAAAGTCAATATAATATATATGTTTTCACATGGCTTCACACCCCCCCCCCTCCCCCAGTGTGGGAACCACTGGTCCCACACTTTGCAGAACTTTCTCAATACTATTGATCTTCATATTCCAAATGCACTTGACGTAATTGCTAACTATATGGCAAGACTTATGAAGGTACTGTATCTATGAGCAAGGAGCTCTATGTGAAGCTAAAGAAAGAGATATAGTCAAGATATCTTCTTGCCACTCAAATACTGGAACTTGGTGAAATGCTTGAGCATTATCTCCGGTCACAAAAGTAACTTGATAGATATTGCAATTTTTGTAATGCTACAGTTGCTCAATGTCACGTTGATTCAACCAGATATTACTCCTTCAGTGGACTACAGTTTTCACATATTCACCAGTAACTCTTGGAAAACAAAACTCTAGATCTAAAGATTGCTTTGATCAGGCCTGCACTCTATAGATGGGCTATGTAGAAAATTAAGTTATCTAAAATTGTACATTATGTTGGGGAAAATATTTTTTGGCTGTATAGAAAATAAATTATGTTTGGTACTTACTGGGAAATCTGTGCAGTCCTCAAACTGTAGGGAATTTCTACATGTGGAAAATCCTAAGACATGAACTTAGAATAGTTTATACACTTCTTTCACTTTCAGGACATAATACAGTAAAAACCCCATAATTCGAATTACAGTAATATGTGCTCTACCCATTACATATTATGAGATTTAAAAAAATTTGAGGGACACCTCCTGGGAAAAAAAAAAAAAAAAAAAAACAGTATTTTTCCCATTATGTGCCCCAATCAAAATTTAAACATTTATAAGTACAGTACCTTTGTACCAGATTTCGTTGCTTGGTCCCTGGTTATCAGATATAATAGCTCAACACTCGGCAATAATGGAATAACAAGTAGAAAAATGCTTGCATAGTAGACCGTAGATTTACACTCCATGACTCACCAATGTGAACTGACCGTTACCAACACGCATGGCACATATAGTACTTGTTTACACTGAAGCGGACGGTTGCTTCCCATGACGACTTGTGCGTTATAGTATATATTCATTAGTCTCTCATAATCTGCAATTTTACCAAATACATACTGTATTACCAAATTTTTAATACTGTATACAACATACAGTACTGTATATTGTAATATTTCAAAATTTTACCAAATATTATGAAATTTGTAATATATATTTTGTAACAGCAAAAATTTACAGATTATGAATGATTTCCAATTACTGTAGAGGGGTACGAATTATGGAGTTTTTACTCTATACAGTATAAAATATATAATCAGAGTTACCGGAGCCAAAAGGAAGCTAAAACAACCAATAAACTCTTACCTGATAAGTGATGAATTAAAGGTTGCCACAACATATGTACAGTATATGTTCTCTATGGCTGCTCTATTAATGGTCTTTTGGCTATAGATATCAAGTTTATTTCCTGCTATGCCCAAGGCACAGCCAATAAAAACACATTATCAGTAGGAGTATCATCTAAAATATATGTTGGGAAAAATTATCATTTTCATATATCACCCAAACTATAGGTAACACACTACAGTACAGGAAAATTCTCTACCTGTTTAGATGCATGATAGTTTCTTGCCCAAAATATTCAAAACTTTTCATCTCATAAAATTTGTGCAATTATGATGATTTCCTGAGTAAACTATCACCCTACAGCTACTAAAAGAGCAATATGCTTCACCAAATTACTTTACAGTTCAGTAACCAAAAGGAATATGGGAACCCATTGTGGGAGCATAGTATATCTTAAATCTAGTGTTAAAAACCTAACAATAACTCATCCTAAATTTTGGGGATGGTTGTGTTAAGAAAGGAGTGTGTTTAGAAAGAGGAATTAATTGTACTAATGATTAATTCTGATGCAGTTAAGATGAAAATATGAAATATTTAAAAATAATACCCAATCTATAAAATTATTAATAAATCATGGTTAACACTACTGTACTTCCTGTTATGTATCTACTCAGAGCACTTCCTTAACTAGGGCATGTGGACAGTTTCTGCAGTGACTACTCAATATTGATTTATTCTCACTTCATAACAGTACCACTGCCATATACAGCATGTAATTTTTCCTTGAATACTATTTCAACTCACTTTTTCTAATTGGAGGGAAAACTTGCAATAAATTAAAATCAGAATATCTTACAATAAGCATCATATTAATCAAGTTTGTACAATGATTTCAGACATGGTTGGTAAGGATGTTACTTATGGGGGCTGGGGTGGCAGTATCATTACCGACTATGGAATAATTACTACTGATGACTGTGGCACTACTGTTGATGGTGAAGGAGTTGTTAATGAGTGTGGTGTCTAGTTCTTCTTCATCCTCAGCTTCGTCATTGTCAGCACTATTAACAGTCAAACTCTCTTTCCACTCCCTCTGTGTCAACCAAACTGCAAAAACAAAACTTATATTAGCAACCAGTTCAAGTAGGATTAGAATATACCTTATTTGCACAGTCAGAAGCTGCACCTTTTATTGCACAATAAAATAGAAGTTGGGGAGCAAATTAAAAAAAAATTACTATCCTGGGTTGGATGGTATTGAAGTTCAGGAGCCCAATGAAGCATCCATACCCACAGTGTCTGTAACCCATAATGGTGTAATAAAACACTGAATCATTTATTGGTATTGTACTCACTTCACCATAATTATTCTTTATCTTCAAGATACAGTATTGGTACAGCATTTATATTCATATGGTAGATTTAAGAGGTTACCTTAACCCTTAAAGGGTGGGTATATTTATATGTGCTGCAAATCGTGTAAGATAATGTTGTTTAAATACATGTAGAACGTACCCTAACTGAGATATTAAAATATTTTGCACCATTAGAAAGCTGAATCTTTTGCTAACAAATTCATATTAAGTCCACAAATACATGAAATAATAATTTCTTGGAGAAATCAAGAATTGAACTGGGAGTATAATGAACCCTCAAAGATTTGGACCCAGAAAATCTGGATTTCGGAAGATTCGGACAAAATTTGGTGGTCCCGGGAGCTAATAAGCCTCCCTAAGAAGCATTCCACAAAAACAGAGCAAAGATCATCCTAGGCCCATGTAACTAAGATGTCAGTGCATGGGACACAGGTACCCGAGGTGGGAAACATAAACAGAGTTGTCAATTGTTGTTTGTGGGAATATTATTTCATTCACTCTATTAATGATACAATGTTTCTTATTATGTTATTGTAGGTATATAAATACAGTAGTTTATATAATTTGTTTTCAAATTAGACTACAAGATATGTATTTCTCCCATACGTACTGTATTTCAATCATACCCCTAACGGGAGAGAGTGAGTGACCACAAGTTAGTGTGTCATCTGCTCTTGTAACTCTCCTCCCTCCCTGCCATATTTCACTGGATTTACTGTTATTATTAGTGTTTATTGATATAATAATGCTTTATAGTGATTAATCGTGGTTAGATTCGTCTCTGTAACCACCAGGCTACTGGGCCAAGCTATGAGGGGCTATGGTTGTTTTTCAACTCGCATTTTCGGTTAGATATTCGTAACTTTCTTCATTTTTTTTACTCAGTTACATGCACACACCTTCCTACATACATTTTGTGAAAAAAAAGTAAAAGAAATAAAAGAAATAATTGTCCTAAGGGTAAACAAGTAATGGGAGGAGAGTGCAAAGTGTAGGGGAATGGGGAGCGTTGCTAGGGAATCGGCATCCCAGTTGGTCTTCGTTACTATGGTGAAGCAGGGAGTGTATGCAAATGGCGACTGTGTTAGTCTTTCAATTGGCTTTTATTTACTGATTTGGCAGAACAGCATGCCCTTACAATTCACGGATTTTTAATTCACAACCTTCGATTATTCGAGGATGACACCCTGTATGTACTCAAGAATGTCTACGGGTAGTTTTAAAGTTGGCGGCTGGGCCATGTGCACTGACTCCGCCTCAGTCCATGTTAAACATATGTCCGTTTCATGCTTGTGCTACTCTGCTCTCCTTACAACTGTGCTCCTTGTGCTTGTGATGGCTCCCAAAGCCCTCAAGCATCTTCATCCAGCCGCAGGAAGGTGCCCAAACAAGTGAAGAGAGAAAAGAAGGTCTTGCATTTCTCCCATACAGATGCCTGGCTACTCCTGGCATTGTATGCCTGACAATGGGAGCGGGTAAGGGGAGTGAGTGACTGCTAGTTAGCACATCATCTGCAGTTGTAACTCTCCTCCCTCCCTGCCATATTTCACTGGATTTACTGTTATTATTAGTGTTTACTGATATAATAGTGTTTAATAATGATTAATCATGGCATTGTAGCCAGCTTTAACTCGCAACTGTTACCACCAGGCTACTGGGCCAAGCTGTGAGGTGTTATGGGTTTTCAACTCGTATTTCTTAATTTTTTACTCATTTACATGCACACACCAACCGAAATTCATACATATTGTGAAGAAAAAAAAAGTAAAAGAAATAATCGTCCTGAGGGCAAACACATAACAGGAGGAGAGTGCAGAGTGTAACTGGTTGGGTGCGTTGCTAGGGAATCGACGTCCCAGCTGATCTTCGTTACTTTGGTGGAGTAGGGAGTGTATGCAAATGGCGACTGTGCTAAACTTTCATTTAGCTTTTATGTACTGGTTTGGCAATAGTATTCTTTGTTGTAACTTATTTATTGGTAGTATTATTATTTATTCCTCACATTTCCTGGTATTATATACAGTATATTATTTTAAGAAAACTATGGCTGTGAGGTGTTATGGTTGTTTTTCAACTCGTATTTTTGGATAGATATACGTAACTTTCTTCATTTATTTTTACTCAGTTACATGCACAAACCAGCCTACATACATATTGTGAAAAAAGTACAATATTACACAGCAATTACCGACATCCTTCATGTTGGGTTGGCTAAATGGCTACAAAAGAAATTCTGTAAGTTTGATCTACTTATCAACCCAGCTGCTGCTCAGAAGCCATTCATTCTAGAGACAGTAATTGCTGTATGGCAACCCAACTTTAATAACAAAGCATGTCTTGAGGGGATTTTTTGTGCGTGTGTGTGTGAACTTGACAGGTCGCCAAGTTAGATGTCATCATAGCCACATCGCCTTACTTCTCCTGTGATATTGTTATTTTTCGACTCATAATTATGAGTAGATACTGTGCAAGTATTTTTATTTGTTTTCTTTTACTGTACTCTGTTACATGCGCACACACTTGTCATACAGAATGCCCCCCCACCCATCAAAAAAAAAAAAATAAGTGATTATCTTAAGTTCAAAAACAAAGATATTAAACATTTCTTATGTCCATGGTAGTTAGTGTGCAGCTTCAGTGTTGTGTGCACTTATTATCATGTTACAATTAAATAATGGGACTCAATGGGAAAATTGGTCCGGCGTAACGGAGATCTACATCACAAAAACATTTTCAAGGATAGATCCCTTCCGTAACCCGGAGGAAGCCAGTATTTATTACAGTAGTATAATTTTTATTTATTCCTAACATTTACTGGTACTACAGTATATGCACAAATGATGCAACCCTGGTGCCTAAGGTCCGTAATTGCCTTGGATAATGAGGAGTATCTATTGAAATATATGTGGTGAAAGTTGCTGGCTGAGAAAGCATCTCCCCTTATTCAAATTAATTCTTATGGGGGAAAATTGCCCCAATATTCACAATTTCGTTATTTTCAATGACTTTTAGGAATGCCTCCCTTGCGATAACTGGGGTATTCCTGGTACAGTATGCACGTGACACAGTACAGCCGGGCAGTCACCCAGCTGACCCAATGCCTTAATACATATGTTCACTTCCCACACATACACACACATGCTCTTAATTTTTTTTTTTTTTTAGTTTTATAATTTCTTTATTTCTAAGCCACATTAGAGTATTGTAATGATTTCTTTTCTTCTCAAACAAGCACAGAGAAGCGATAAACATACTGAGATAAGGGAGAAGGATGGTTTGTTGATCCTTTATATAATGTACTTTAAACCTTTGTTATCAAACCACTATAAAACTATTTAAAATTCAGATACTGTACCATGTGGCAACAATGGTACATATTCTGTTACGAGTAATACTATTAGAAATGTCGTTTGACAATAAATTGACGATACGTATTTAGATAGCCAAGCAACTTATGAATTACACTGGTGTCAATATACATTACTGGACCCTCGATAAAGAATGATATTAGGTTCCTGAAACCTCAATTAGTTGTGAATCATTCTTTACTGAACTTCTTATGGGAAAGAGGGCTAGGGTCTGAACATCGCAAAGATTGACTTTTTTAACTATAGTACGTATGCCTATTTTCATCCACGATGGCGTCACAGCAGTAGAGTACTGCATTCACAAGAGTACTGTACTGTACATAACATAAAATATGGTAAGAAATGATTTATTGAGAATCGTGCATGTCGTATTCTCTTTACCACCGATCAACAACTAACCATCACCACCCTGCACCATCTCCCTACTGTACACCCATCTTATGATGTCAAACAACAAGCATGGAATTATTGTGATCCTAATACTACTCATAATAAAATCACTGGTACTGTACTTCCCAAGGTAAAACTACTTTGTTCAGCAGCACACCTCCATACATTATTTGTTACTTATGGCATTATAAATTTTATGATTTGACAGATAAGGATGGGTGTTTTATTCATATTTTATTTTGCGTTATTAACAAGGTTCTGAGTTATGAATAAATCAACTTATGAACAGGTCCTGAAATGTAACCCGTTCATTATTCAGGGGCCCCTGTACAGTATACAGATTCATCCAAGGCAAACACTTGGATGGATGCCAATATGCAGAAATTAAAAGCAATATAACATTTACGAGACAAAAACTTATCATATTTTCTTTAAGATCTGGAGAAAAAATATAACTTAAGTGTACATCTATTATCTATACTGTAATTCAAAATTTATATTTCTTTAATATTGTATACCATCAGCTTCAACTACAAAGAAAATTATATAAAGTTAAATTTACCTGTACATGTGGTTTCTTCTCCAACACTTTCTATGAAGATATTTCATTCCATCCATCAATGGGTCCCAGCTTTCATAATGTGTGAGAAGTGAGACAGCAATAAAAGATGTCATCATGGGAATTGCACCAATATAAATTAGCAGTGAATACTTGATGCCCTTGAGCCAGATGTCCACAAACATTGTCAAGGGAATAGTTAAGCTCAAAGATAAAGTAGCCATCAATGATGAAGTAAGGAAGCATCCCCTGCAAAATAAAACACCTTCAATTCCCAAGTAATTCCAATGTAGGTCAAACAATTATAGAAGGTGTTAACTAAGAAGACAATTAAAAAAAAAAAGAATCTTTACTGCAAAATTTTTTTCTTGCATTATCAGCTAAGAGAGGAATGTATGATATTCTCTGAAACACTTCAATTCAGAAACAAATTCAGACTTTATTTCAAGAAATAAAGTATAAAGGTAAGCACCTATTTGGTACATCCTTTTTCTCTTTTATGATACAGTGGCTACAATCAAGAACATATACACACACACACTGTTCGTTTTTGTCACTCATCCTCTAAACCGCTAAGACACATGCATTGTGCGATATTGTTCCCTTCCACAACAATGCTCAAAGACATCCTTCTACATTTTCCCTGTCACTTTACACAATCTAGCATCCTCAAACCACAGAGTCCATTCTCAAAAAGTACTTGATGCCATACTGTCTAGTCAGGCTCAAGATGATTATAAACTAACCTAAGGTATCATATTGTTTCACACAGAGTAAGCACAGATACTTCTTTTAGCTACTGTACCTATAGTTTTTTATTTTCCTTTTTTATGATGGTTTTTCAATAATCATAATCTATGGTTTAAACATATGGGAGATAATGGCCGGAATCAACATTTCAAAGAGGTCATGGTCATCAGTGCCCAACCATAAAAATTCTGGACATATTAATCAAATTTCATAAATGAGATTGACAATGTCAATACTTTGTTATAAATGGTTTAATTGATAAAGCATTACTAACCAAAGCCAAAGAAGTTCAGACAGGACAGTTCCTACTAAGCCATTAACAGACATGTAGAACAGGTGTTGCAGATTTGGCAACTGAAATGTCTCCCATCCAAAAACATCCAACAGGGGGAACCCAGGCCACAGAATGATGGTATTGAAAAAGCCCACAAATCCTGGAGAAAAAAAAATATTAATAAGAAAACAAATTAAAAAGACCAATACATTCAACCTATCTATCTACAGTACCTACACCAACTGTGCCACAAATTTTGTTTTATTTCAAGAAGTTAAAATCATTACACTTTAATAATTCACACCCGAACAACTGAAGGCAATAAATTTGTACAGAATAAAGCAAAATTATCTCTCCCTGAAAAATAAGAATCCTCTCTTTGTGTTAGTGTTGTGTTCTGACAGTTTAACGGTGTGAATTCCCATGAAGAAGTAAATACAATGCCTGCCAAGTAACTGAAGTATGGCATATGAATACGATGTGACAGTTAGAAATTCAATGACAACACAATTGTATTAGCTTATGACTACCTGGTAAATGTAATAGGAGAGTGGTTAAGTTATCATTTCATATTACTGTACAGCAATATTGCTAAAGTATTACCTTCAAGAACTATAAAAACATTGACCAGATCATGATGGATCAGGGAGTTGATCATTCTTTGAACTGGGTCGACTCCTCTGATTTGCCCTTTGAGGAGATGCTGATATTACATAATGATGTCTTCTAGTCCATTTCAAACCATTATTGTCCAGAGGTGGCAAAGAAAATTACAGTACGAGATGACTCTCGTTGGAATGGATCGTAGAAGTGCTGAATGAGAGAAGCACAGGCAGTGAACAGACCGTACTAGATCAGAGTACATAATATGACTGTGCGTACGGCTGTTGTTTGTTCAGTGTGGGCACACAACGCTGAATATTGTATACTACAGAAGTCAAATGGCCTCATGTGGCAGTGACCAGAAAAAAATATATACAGTTATGAATGGGCTGTTGGGCCAAAGGTCTGGAATTACTATGCTTTGTTCCACTTCAAATGGTCAGCTTGCCTCAGATTTTTCCTAAGGTTTTTATGACAAAGATATCATGTGACCTTGATTGTGTTTCTTTAGATGAGAAATTTTCAGTTATTTTCAACCAAGTTACACAATAGAACTCACTCTTTCATCATTTTGTCTTACAGAGGTGAACAACATTCTGCACTATATCAAGGATTTGAAGAAGACTTTGTTGTCGTGATCTTACAAATGTATTTAAGGTATCACTCTCTTATGAACATACTGCAGACTTTATTTGTAGAATCATACATATGTGATTTTCAGAGGGTAATTTTGTGTGATCTGAAAAACAGGCTTTATTACATCCACTTCTGGTCTTGATACTGAAAATATGTAAAATTATAGTCATCCAGTCTCGAGTCTCATTTTCATCAGAGATCATACTATGCTGGATTAGTTACTTTCTCTGTTAGAGAGAAGCAAGTGATCCATCTGGTCCAGTCAGCCTATAGGTTGCATCATTCAACTGAAACTGCCTATGTTGAATTCATAATGATTTGGTAATAAACACTTGCACAGAAAAGTCCTCCCTCCTGGCCCTACTGGATCTCTCTGCAGCATTTGCAGCATGGCTTCAGGATCTTTGGTCATTCAGTGTCCATGATGATGCATTCTCACTGTTTGAGTCTTATCTGTCAGAGTGATCTCAATGTGTGATAGTTGGTGGAACCGTTTCAGACCCGGTCCCTTTGCAGTTTGTCGTCTCACAGGGATCAGTTTTGGGACCACTTCTGTTTACAGTCCATACCAGTAGTTTTGTAATTTTGCTGGATGTGTAGGTTACTAGTGTGCCCTGAAGAATGCTGTGATGGCTAGGGAAACACTGAGTAACACTGAGTCCGTTTATTGTGGATGAGAGAAATACAAGTGGTGACCAGCGTGTGCCAAGCACGGCTCACACAGTCAGACTGAAGCTGCCTTGCCATATGGCAGCCTCGGGGCAATGTTGCCACATAACACGTGCAGTGTTGCCACGTGATTATATATATAAATGCTACTCGGCACAGTAGCTTATGTACAGGGTTGCTACTTGGCACAGTAGCTTATGTACAGGGTTGCTACTCGGCACAGTAGCTTATATACATAACCTACATCTCCCTCCCCCCTCACGCTCATAGTCTTTGTCTTGAGCGGACTTCTTAGTCCTAAGTCGCTCCGAGCGTCGAGGTGCACTGTGGGGCGGATCCTCGTGAGGTGTAGGTGACTCGTCCTCGGTCAGGGGGCCAGCAGTAGGGGGTGGGACTGGCCGGAGGAAGCGGCGGTTCCTCCACCAGACACGGCCGCTCGGCATCCTGACCTTGTAGTCCCGCGACCGGCCGACGCCCATCACTATGCCCACCTTGTCCCAACGTGTCGTCGTCGGGTCCCAGACGCAGACAAGGGCACCAATCTCCAGTGGCTGAAGAGGGCGGGCACGGTCGTCATACCGAGCTTTGGCGTCCTGGGCACGTGAAGCGGCGCGGCGGTCACAGCTCTCGGCTTTGGTCTGCCAGTCCTTCGCAAAGGCCTTGGCGTGTGTAGGAACACAAGAGCGGAGAGGGTGACCATACAGGATCTGGGCAGGGGAGCGTCCTGTGTGGGTGGGAGTGGATGCGGGTTCTGGGCAGCTCTGTGTGGCAGTGCCAGGCGCGTCGCTCGTTAACTCACGCACCCTGCTGGCGGTGTACCGAGCAGCTGGGATCTGCTCAGGAAAGTCTCTGGGCACCACGCCTAACTCCTTGCAGTGCACCCACGACAACAAGGGTGTAGCGAGAGTAGGCCGCACGTCGATCCATCAGTAACACGACCTGTCGCCGTAGGTGATCTCTGCCTGAAAGGAGCCCACAGCGTCCGGCATCTGGGAACCGTCCGCATTGTAGTACTGCAGCTGCGGCGGTGGTCCCAGGCCGCGTTTGGTGAGGCCCAGTTTCTGGAGGTGCTTCAGGCCTATCACCGTAGTATCGGCGCCGGTGTCTGGTATCACCTCGATGTGACCCGACACATCACCGTGTGTGACGGCGACGCGGATAGTAGGGGAAGGGGTAGCCCTGGGGCGTGTGGTCGATTCCACCCTCCTGATGTGACTCCGCTGCTGCTTGGGGCTGCGTGGGCCATCTGGAGGGGGCTGCGTGCGAACCACCCCGAGGGAAGTGCGCTGCTGTCCTCCTCGTCTCGGGCTTTTGGGCTTGGGTTGGCGGCAGCACTTGTCGTAGTGTCCATAGCGACCGCAGGCCTGACACTTGTGGCCTTACGGTCACATCCACGACACAGTGCGTCGGCGGCCGGGCAAGTCTTGGGGCTGTGCTGCTTTCCACAGCTGCCACAGGAAGCACTAGGCGGAGGCGTGGAAGAACGTGTGGCAGCCTTCGCGTTGTTGGCCGCCTTCTTATCCTTCTTGTATTGTGAGATAGCTCTCACAGCAGGTGGGGCCCGTAAGGCAGAGGTGGCGGACTTGGTGGCCTCGTATGACCGACATTCAGTCACTACCACCTGGAGTGTGGAGGAAGCGTCCAGGGGGATGAGTCGCTGCATCAACTCTTCGTGCCTGACACCTGTCAAGATCCCGTGCTTGATCCAGGCTTCCTCACATTCCCGGCTGTGCGCCTTGCAGACGTCGATCTCCTCTGACAAACTCTTCAAACGTACAAAAAAGTCGTCAAAGGATTCGTTCTCCGCCTGCTTGCAGCTGGTAAAGGCACGGCGACGCAAAGCCTCGTTGTTCCGACCCTTAACGTGCTCCTGTAAAAGGTCGAGCACATCCGTCACTGAAGATGTAGAATCGGGAGGCACTTGCAACGTGTGCTCCAAAACTCTCTGGGTCTCCAGCGACAAACACATCCGCAGTTGGATGAGCTGTTTGTTTGGAGGCATGCTGTCAAGGTCCACCATCGTGGAGTAATCTGTCCAACGCCGCCTCCACTCACGAAAAAGCTGAAACGTGACGTCTGGTGAGAGGGCGGGTGGGGGTTGAACAGATGCCTTGGGAGCTGTTGGGGTAGCAAGAGTACCTGGAGGACGCTGGTGTGGTGGAGCAAGAAACGATATGCAGTATTTATGTTGTATTGTCAAACTAAGACACACAATTGAGACCCTGCAATTGTATGTAAATGAGGAAGAAAGGCAGATCAGTAACCTGGGACTTGGTCACAATTTTTTTGATGCCATATGGCAGCAGGGTCTACCATGAGACAACACATTATGCTTCCAATATCTTCCCAGGCAGTAGTGCCTCCCTGTTTGATAGCTGCCTACTACAGTACTGTACCTACTAAATAGAATACATTAGTTATGTCTATTTATCTAAAATGTATTGGTATTCACCATGTTGTAATTCACTTGAAAGATCACTAAATTGTATATTCATTGAAGTACAGTATTATATATTTATTTCAAAGGAATATTCACCAGCAGAGTTTTGAAACCTCCATAATTGTGTGTTGACAGATCTTCATGCCCCCATATTCATTGAGCATAGTCAGTACCAGTGCAAAATTTGATTTTGAATACACTACCACTGGAAAGGTTTCCAAAACAAAGTATAGGTGTCTACAATACCAATGATTCAAAACAAATCTATGCTGGATGCTGTCTCACCTTTATCCAACCAAAGTACTTGAAGTTGGTTTTGGAATGTCCCCTGCTCAACCAAGTTACAAGAGTTTTTGTGCACAAATGTCAGTGTAATATACCAGTAACAGCAAACCTTCCACTGTACAGTATAAAAATTGAATAATGTTGTTTAAACTTTCATTTATTGGTGATGGAACATTTGTGTGATATACATGTCCACAGTGAGGTATACAGTGTCATGATACATTGACAAACTGCCAGCTGCTCTCAGATACATCCATCTCACACCATACAGTATACCCTTACTCTCTTAATTTGTCTTTTATATCTGTATTATTGTGCACTATTTTCTTTATTCATAAGGTACACTAGCTGGTAATTTCATAAGATTCTGTTAAACCAAAAAAATTAACCCCTTAAGCTGAATAAAATTGTCTGGCTCTGGCAAAATTAAATATCTTAAGTGGCCTTCCCATAATGAAGAGATTAGTGGAGATAGTCTACGTACCAACCCCTTGTGTGAAGGTTCCTCTCTGTGCTGAATAAAATCATCTGGTGCTAGCCAAATAACATATTCTAAGTGGCATCCATGTAGTGAAGGAGTTGAAGGCTGAATATATATGCACAGTACAGTACTGTAAGTCCTCGCTTAAAGTGGTGGTTCCGTTCCTGAAAACCATGACGTTAACGGAATCAATTTTCCCCAGAAGAAATAGATAAAATATGGGAGTTATGTTCCCCAGCCTCCCTTTACCCCACAAAATACATTACGCATATATAAATTCAATGAAATTTTTATAGAAAATAGTATTTTTGTTCAATCCATAATGCGACGTCTAGCTTTATACCTAGGTAAGTAAATGCCTAGCATTAACTCGCCAGGCCAACATACAGGCAATTAAAACATCTAATAATTACTTAAATACGTAATATTAGGACACGTCGCTACCTGGCATTTAATTGCAATTCTCAAAACCCCCTCCATCACATGCACTGCCACCGTCATCTCTTGCCTTAGAGCGAGCAGTAAACAAAAGTCAACTCTCGAGGGGTGGAGTTGGGTGGGTTGTCGACGTCACATTCTGGACTATATCACAAAAACTTGTTTAGAAAAAAACAGCATTTTGTTCAATCCAGAATGCGACGCCTAGCTTTGAATACACGAGCAGGAGGTGGAGAGGGAGGTGACTTTGTGTATAAGGCTCCGCTAGCTTAGGTCCAGAATATGATTATAAACTATTTGGAATATTTTCCAATATTAGGAACATTTACCGGAAGGTAAAATGTTAATTTACATATCCCAATTAGGATACTCACTTTATTCTGATGAGGAAGAAGGTCCTGGTTGCGGAGATTGACTAGGTGGGGGAGAGGACCACTTTACCCCATAAAATACATTAAGCATATATGAAGTCAATGAAATTTTTATAGAAAATAGTTTATATTATACATCCAAAAAGGTAAATAAACTATTTCATTTTGTATTGTACTCACTGATTGGCGTATATGAAGCAAGTGTGTGGTGGGGAGTGGAGAGGAAGAGGGTGGGAGAGGAGGAGGGTGGCGAGTCACTGAGAGCCGGAGGGTGGTTCCTCCTCCCGCTGACTGGGTGATGCGCCATACAAAGTAGTCCATGGCGTTATACTGAATTGGCGGGACGTTTTCCGAATCAGGGGTATCTAAAGAGTATCGACGTTATAACGAAACAACATTGTCAATTGCAACGTTAAACGTGGACTTACTGTATATGAAACACATTTACTGTATTTCTTAGTTTTAACTTCTCCCCTAATTTCAAATAAAAGCTAATAGGTATTGGTAACTTTATTTTTTCTTTGAATAATATTTGTATTACAATCTAAACAGAAATGTGATAAAATTCATACGAATGCAAATCTATTAAATCTACATAAACTGTCTAAAGTCTATAGTTACAAAACTCCATTTTGCGAATGATTCAAGTATGATACAAAAGAAACTTGATATTAAAATGAATATTACATTCTTATATTCTTAGCATATCATTATACACTTGCCTCCACACTATCTCACGACAAATGTTTAACAAAAAAAAATTAATGCTCTGCTCATGCTTTACATTCTTCATGAACGGGGTCTAATGTCCGAAATTCTCTCCATGTTGGGGGCATGTGGTTATGAAGATGATTACTACACCTCTTGCACACATCAGTGAAGAGAGAAACAAAACTATGCAGCCAGGTCTGTCAAGGAGAAAAAATTCAATCATTGAATAAATTTTTACATATGGTAATCGCTTCAGTCTTTCTGAACTGATTTTAATGCACTTATTACAAAAGGTAATCTTCAATATACAGTATGAGAATTTTTTTTTGTACATTCTATAATACAATTGTACCCAATTATTTGGGAGTACAGTAACACAGCTTGGCCTGGTAAGAGGACTGTCTAACTTGGTAACATGCCAAGTCCACACATTTGTTCACTTCATACACATACACACCCATGCATTTAATTTTTCTTATTTTAAAGCAACATGCCATCTCCAGATATTATTTATTTCTAAATTGCTTTGCAAATAAGTGGGGTATGCTTTTAAATGATATAGTTCAGTCATGATAAATGGACAACAGGGATAATCTGGAAACTCAGGATTAGTCCTTTCCAGGCCCACTAACTGTTCAAAAGTTCCCAGAGGGATAGAGCGTGTCAGAAGGCTCGAGTAATCCTTGATACTTTCATCCCAAACTGGGAAGATGGTTTTGTCATTTACTGTACAGTACAAGACAGTCAGACCAATCCTTTTCCCTTCTCCTATAGCCTGTTCACTATCACCTATATGTTTTGTGAACTCCCATTCACAATACTGTACCACATTGTCTCCATACAGTACAGTGGTACAAATCTGCGAGGTACAGTACTTGTTTTCTACCCATCTGTTCCCCCTTTCTTTTATCACCATTCATCTCACAACAAAACTGAAGAGCACAGCAAACAGAAGAAGGGACAAAACATTTCCCTGCAGCATACCACTCTCCACACAAGATTCAGGTGAGAGTTGACCATCAACATTAATACATCATCTACTACACCTATTAATATGCCATACTGCATTTCTCTGGTAATCCATTATTTCATAGAGTTCTCCAGAGTGCTGATTGATGCATGCTGTTTAGAGTCTTCTCAAAATTGATGAAAACAATAACAGGGATTGGTTTTCTATACAGTACAGGTTGGACCTCGCTAATCCGGGAAGCTTGGGACCAGACTGGTTCCAGATTTGCAAAAATTCCAAACCACCGAAGCCGAGGTTAAAAAAGGCAAAATAATGCATTAAATGTACTATTACTGTCGAATTTCTTCAGTATAGAAATCTTTTCTAAAATAGTTAATGTCACATGCTTACGTTTTATTGCATTTCAAAAACTTCCACTGCTTGCTGGTCTCTTAAGAGGCATATTTAGGGGTAAATTATAAGTATTTAAAGATAAAATAGTGGCAACAGCCACTAGAAGTGAGCTATGATACCATCCCGAACCATTGAAGCTGCCGGACTATCGGGTCCCAGATTAGCGGGGTCCAACCTGTATTCCACATTCTGCTGTATCATGATTAAGTACAAAGATTTGATCACTGCAGCCCTTTGCTCTCCTAAATCCTGCCTGCTCATATTGAAGATTTGCATCCAGGACAACCCCAATCCACCCAAATGTAGTTGGTACCAATCCCTAAAGTTCAGAAAAGTGAATGCGATCAAGTGCAGTGCCAGTCAACCAGTCTGCTAATGTACCAAAGACTTAGTAGTCAAAGTGCAGTGCCAGCCAAACTGTTTGCACTTCCCCATATTGGCCATCAGGCTAATGTGACACACTTTAATGTTGTAGTGTCAGACACCTCTTGTAAGGTTTGCCCAGTTTTGTGTACAGTACAGTATACACATTTACAATACAGTACATTATACCGTATACAAAACTGTACATAGGACACAATATCACCTCTCAATTACAGTAGATATTTTTCAATTCGTAATTTTGGGTATACAGTATAGTCTCGATTTAAGTGGATTTGGTTTACGCGTTTGGTCATTTACGCGGCACCTTGCCAGACCGACAATTTTTATTTACACGGGTCATTCCATCATTTACGCGGGAAGCGGCGCGGGCAGGGTACGCACAAGGTTGCCCAGTCAACAAAACATTACTGAGTTCTTCACCCGCCACCCACCACAGCCGGCCCAAGTCAGTGATAGTGAGGATATGGACTTTGAGGGGTTTGACAAAGAGGCCCTGCAAGCCTCTGTGGTGGATAGTGATACAGGTGAGGGCCAATAATCTGCCCTCTGCCTCGGAACCAACCCCCCATCCCCATGTGCCCAGCCATCTCTTCTACTAAATTAAGTGTTAAAAAACCTATTATTGATATTTCTGTTAAGTTTTTTGCAGAATCAGTTACTTAGCAAAATGGCCAGCATGCATATTGGTAATTTTGTAAAATAACTTACAAACAGACTACCTAAACTAACCTAACCTTATGGTTAGGACAGCGCACAGTCCAAAGTTAAAAGAAAACAAAAACAACAGGACCATTTAATTGTGCATCAAGGTACAATAGCCATCCAAACCTAACCTAACCTTATTCCACCATAAGGTTTGGTTAGTTTAGGTTATCTGTTTGTAAGTTATTTTACAAAGTACCAATATGTATGCCGGTCATTTTGCAAAATAACCGATTCTCAAAAAAAAAAATAAAAAATTAAACTCAAATATTAAATTTTATTCATTTATTTTACTCTTACATGCATACACAATTCTTCATACAGAACATGAAAAAATAATTAAATAAATAAATAAATGATCATCATAAGGTCAAAAACATAGAGAATAAAAATATCTTACGTCCACGGGAGGTTAGTGTGCAAATCATGAGAAGAAAAAGGGGGTGTGGTATTGGGGATCTCAGCCTCCCCCTACCAGACCAAGTTGTGAGCTGTATATTTTTTTATTTTTCAACATAATTTCAGGTAGATATACATTTTTTTCTTTTACTCTGTTACATACACACAATGCGGAAAAAAATAAAAGAAATGATTATCATAAGGTTAAAAACATAAGGGAATAAACATTCCTTACGTCCACGGGAATTAGCGCGCAAATCACGCGAGGAGGAGGAGGAGGAGGGAGTAGCTTTGGGGATCTAAGGCGCTTCAGTTTCCCGTGTCCTGTGTGTAGTGTATTACCGACTGATAAGGAGGTATATTTAAAAAATTTTATTTATCAGTATAATTTTTATTTATTCCTCATATTTACTGGTACTACAATATACACGCAACCCTGGTCCCTAATTGCCACAGATAATGAGGAATGTACAGTACTGTATATAAAAAAATATGTTGTGAAAGCTGCCGGCTGGGAACGCATCCCCCCTCTATTACACCGATTCTTATGGGGAAAATTGTCTCAATATTCATAATGACTTTTAGAAATGCATCCTTTGCAACAACCAGGATATTCCTGTACCTGGGTCCTATTTTCAATAATAATTGATCGCTTGAGACTGAAGACAGCAAACCAAGTTATGTGTATGTTGGCTAATACTGTACAGTCTCTCCTCGACTTACGACGGGTTCCGTCCAGACGACCAGGTCGTAAGTCGAAAAGGGGAAAATAATACAGAAATTCTAAAATGAAATACAGTACAGTAAAAGTAATCAATAATGAAAAATGAATAAAGTGTTACTGGGCACTTACCTTTAATGTAGTCAGGTGAAAGCACACGGGGCCTCAATAATTTTTTAATTAAGCATGGAGACTACATTAATTGGATGAAGCAGAGAAGGAGACAGGGACGTCGTATGTCCGGGTTGTCATAAGTTGAATATGCCGTAAGTCAAGGAGAGACTGTACTTATAACTCACAAATATTGACAAACCACACCAAAATGAAAATTTTCATATCATTGGTGAGGTCTGTTTTGGTTTATGGAAGAGAAACACAGTACAACAATGAAACTATATAGTCAGTTTTGGAATTTTAAAAGTAAAACACTCGGGAGAATACTGTGAATAAGATGGCAGGATCTTGTCAGAAAGGAAACCATACGGGAAATTGCAAATGTACTACAGGTATACGTTTAAGAGTGGATGATGAGAGACCACTGTACCTGTAGATGGGGCACATTCTTCGTGTTCAACTAGAGAAAATAATATGGGAAGCTATGAGGTGGACACCTGTAGGAGCCAAAAGAAGAGGAACAGCGAGACCCACATGGATTTAAAGCATGATGAGAGAGATGGAGGACAACTGGGACGTGGAAGTCCTTTGCGTTGAACAGAGTTGGAGGTGGTAATGGTAATGCTGAGTCAGCTCACTCTGAACTGATGAAAAACTTTAAAAACAAGAATCACTGAGCTTCCATTCATTACACAAATAAGTACTGTACTGTACTTACAAAGAAGGAGCGGATAGACAAGTCAGAAAATCCTGGTGAACAGAAGTTCAACATCGCAGCATTTGCATTGTCGGTCACTTTCTGAAACACTTTGTATTGGGATGGTGTGTACAAGTCAACCTGGGGAAAACAAAATCTGGTCATAATAAAAGTTTCAAGTATTTTGAGTGAAATGTTTTGCATCTGCATTACATCCTGATACTCCAACAAACTTCTGTATTGTATATACAGTACTGTATACATTACCTCTAATGAACCTCTCATAAACTAGGTGCAGTACAATTCATCCTTTGATTACTGGGGGTTTACAAAAAATATTTTCAGCTTTTTTTTTTTTAGATATAATTTATTGATAAGATGGTTAACTCAGCATCAACTAGTGGCATATTCGGATGAACTGTTCTGATTTATCGCACTTTTATACAAGGTATACACTTGGCGTAACACAGTATGTATACTGTATACAAAGATAGGTTGTGAGAGAAATGCAGCCACAGATGGCAGGACAGAAAACAGCACAATTTACATCACTTAAACTGTATACAATACTGTAATACCAATAATACCTATAATAAATTCACTATTTGAGTAATTCTGTCTTATGAGTTAAGTTTTCCTATGAAATCTCAAAAGTCAGAAAAACTTAAAACAACTTATTTT